CAGTATGCATTGTCAGCTGTGACGCCTTCTATAGAGAGGTGTGTGCCTTTCCAAATCATGTCCAATCAGTTTGATTTTCCACAAGTGGACTCCAGTCAAGGTATAGAAACAGCTCAGCAATGATCAAGAGAAATGGGAGGCACCTGAGCTAAATTTGAAGTGGTGTTGCAAAGGGTCTGAATACCTATGCCGGTGTGATATTCAAGTTTTTCCTTTTTCATACATTTGCAAAAGAGAGACCAGAGAGCCAGTTCGGTGTAATAGTTAAGGCACCAGACTAGAAACTGGGGGACCGTAGGTTCTAGTCCCATTCTTAGGCACAAACCCAGCTGGGTGACCTTGGGCCAGTCATTCTCTCTCAGCCCTAGGAAGCAGTGGCAAACCACTTCCAAAAATCTTGCCAAGAAAACTGCAGTGAGAAGTCCAGGCAATTGCCCAGAATCAACACTGGCTCAAAGGCACACAATAAAATAGAAACAGAAACCACTATATATTAGAAACATAAGCACAAGTTCTTTACTTTGTTTGCATTGTAACAGCAAGAATCACTTTAGCTGGTAGAACCCTTTCGCACCCCCGACATATCTTCTGTAAAAAAATGATTTTATCAGTTTCTTGTCTGTAACCTTTTGTTAGGACAGTAATCTCTTGTGCAGGATCACAATCTAGTTCTAACTTTGTCTCCTCCTGATAATACATGGATTGTTTCAGCACTATTCTTCTCATAGTGTTCAAATGGCACCAAGTCTTGTTGGCTAAGAGCTAGCTGAAACATTTTCTCATTGGGTCTTCAGCATTATCTGCCAATAGCTTATGCTTCAACTGTGAGTGCTTGCCTCCTTTTATGTTGTCAAATGAACTAAGAGGTGTTTGAAGAGGGGGAAGACTCATAACTATTTTTCCAGAATGACAGGCGGCCTATGCGATTGTAAGAGCTTTCCAGGTTTCTCAGTATAAGTACAGAGATTCAAGGTTTCCATATAAAAATCTTGACATAGTTCACATTATGGAAGGAATTGTTCCCTATGAGGACTTTTGTTAATGTTTTTAAAATCCCTTGGCCAATTTTTTTGACTGATTGGTAGCAATCAGTGTGGATTACTGTTCCACCTATTTAGAAAGTTCTAGTAACTTTTCACTTTTTTCTTGTCTTTTTTTGGATAGCTTGTATGACTGATAGGCACAAGTTCACCAAAAACAAGTCTTCATTTTTGCTTTTTGTTGGATTTGTGTGAAAAAATAAAGGGTCCAGCTGCTTAACTTGTGCACAGATAATATTACATTTTTTTTAAAAAAGCAAAACAACAATTTTCAAGGTCTACACACCAGCAAAACCCCATCATATAAATCTTTTGCTTTTTATTAAGAGTAATTTATGACTTTTACTGATCTTTTTATTTTGTTTCTTGAATACAATGATCTAGAGATATTGTTTCATATTGTTTGATACTGCAATCCTACATATCTCTATTCAGAAATAAGTGCTACTAAATTTAATAGGGCTGCTAAACAAGTGTACATAGGCTTCAGCTTTAAGATGTTCTTAGTGCTGTAGAAAAAGGTGGCTAAAATTCTTTGAAATATATATTAAATAAATCTGTAGCTGCATCTACCTTGTGGAACAGTCTCCCCCCTGAGTTGCAAAGGAGCCCCTATCCTCCTTGCCTTCCGGAAGACCATTAAGACCTGGCTTTTCTCCTAGGCACTGGGTCAGGAGGGGATATGAACTCAGCATTTGTAGTTTTGTGATGGGGCTGTTATGGGCGCTTGGTGACATGAGAGTTTTTAATTTTTTGTATCATTATTTGTGTACCTGCTATTAGCTGTCCAGAGTTATTTTGTATAATATGGACAATCACATAAATCATTTAAATAAATTAATAAATCTTTAAGTTGCCTCCTAAAAACCTTCCTGAAGTAATGATATATGTATGGTTATTTGGAAGTAAATTTCACTAACTTCCATAGATTTCCATCAACTTGTCTGGTTCCTCTCTAGATTCTTCAGTGCAGAAGAAGCTTTACCTGATAATCTGGATTCTTCACTGGCATAGATATGAAATAAACTTAACTCACAGAGTCATTTTCAAACTCTTTTAAAAAAACAAAAACAAAAATGAAGTTACTTAATTTCTAAGGAATTATGCAAATGTTTACCATTTTATAAAAAAATACTGATTAACAGATTTCCATATACCAGGACCTCAATTATAATATTAATTCACAACAAAATCTATTTATTTTTTAAACATCTTCATATTCCAGACTCAGTTAAATCTTTTACCAACTGCAATTGCATCACTTACTTGATCTGTAAACTACATACTTCATATACCATAAGGATGATCAGTGAACTCCAAATGTCCTACAAGGGAAAACTGATGAACTTGGGCGTGTTTAAGTTTTGAGAAACCAAGAGGGATATGGTCATATTTTCAAATATGAAGGGAAGTGTCACAAAGTATAGAAGAATACAAGCTATTTTCAATTGTTCCAAATAGCAAGGCATAAAGTAGCCTCAAATTATAAGAAGGCAAATTCTGGTTACAGTTTAGAAAAACTGCCTAATAGTAAGAGCAGTTTAACAGTGGAAATAATTGTCTAATCAGATGCTTGATTCATTAGGCATGTTCAGCAGACACTAAAAAACTTTAATTTGGATGACTGTACTGAGCAAGGCATTGGCTTGCATGCAATGGATTGCATGACTGTACTGAGCACAGCACTGGACTCAATGGCTGAAATCAGGTTGGATTTCTTCAGGATCAGAGACTGCAATTCAGCTCTTAACTTCCTTAATGGACCACAAAAGGCTTATTATGTCACTGGAAGGGGTGAAGCCAAAACTGTCCTATTTTAACTTATTTGGGAGTTGGGGAGTTAAGATAGGGAATGGAAACAAGTTGCCTAATGGAGTCCTTTTGCTCCCATTCCTATCTTTAAAAGAGTCCCCAAACCTGCAAATCAAGCAAAAACCCTAATAACAAAATAAGCTAGTATGTTGCCAAAATAAGCTAGTATGTTGCTAGTATGTGCCTTAATCATGAAGTGTTTCAGGGTCTTCAAATAGGATGCAAAGGGGGTTAATGCAGCATACAGATTACACTCCTTCAGGCCAAAATGGATCTTTCCAACTGTATGATTTTAGGATTGCACAACAGTGTTTTAAACATATTTAAAACTGCAACACAAAATGCATTACTTGAAATGCCAGCCAATTGCTCTGTTTACCTTTCTCTTCCGCCTTTCCTCTTCATCAAGATGCTTTTCTTTCTCTTTCTCGGATTTTTTTTTCTTTTTCTTCTTCTTTTCCTTATGTCGCTCTCTCTCATGGTCTGATCGGTCATCATAGTAACTGGAATCATGTCCTGATCCTGAAAGCTCTGTCACTTCACTACCCCCAACTTTCAACACCAGCTTCAGTGGCTTTTCCAAAGGTTTGTCCATATAATCTAATCAAAACAAGTAACAACACAACATAAAATTCATAGATTCTTAAACTGCAGAAAACCTGAATGAATTCTTTGTATTTGTCTTCTCCAAAAGATCTTGAGTAAATATTTCTGCCTGAACTAATCTTTGCAGGAAGAGAATATGAGGAAATGAGGCAACAATCATGTGTTCTGGACTTTACATTAAGAAACCACTAAGTTCAGGTGGTATGTTTAAGTGTTATGCAAACCATTTGAAGGGCTGTTGCATCAAATATCAAGGAAGCTGTGTATTGGGATCAACTGCTCTATATTGAGAAATCCTTTTTGCTGATCTCTATTTCAGATAACTTAGGTTCCCTTAGAGTTTTTGAAGAACACAGTCAAACTTCCCGGGACACAATGTTGTGTAGTGGTTAAGATGTTGGACAAAGACTGGGGAGACCCAGGTTCAAGTCTACTCTCAGCCACAGAAACTCACTGGATATCTTTGGCTCAGTTATACTGAGCCTGACAACCTAAGTTAACTCCATCTCTTTCTCCAAAGTATAAAATATTCTTGTATGAAACATCTTTAGAACAGATTGCTATATGTAAACTGATATTCCCAATATCTGTATACCATTTTCTTTAACAATTAACTTTTCTGTCACTTTCTACAGGTTTATATAGGAATCAAACAAGGAACCTATTACTGTAGTACCCCTCATTTTATCAACCTTCTTGGTTGTTAGTTCTACTGACATGGTGTCATCAGGTAACAGGATCAGACTGCTTTCTGTCAAATTAGATGTGGTTTCTTCTTTTGTTTCATTGGTCAAGTGTCTTTTATTGAAGATTTTCTGTATTTAATTCACTAGTATTTTCATTCAAATTGTTCAGATGGTTCATCTTTTGTTATGGAATTTTGAAAGTTCAGTCTTCTGAGATGTGGGGCAATGGTGTCTTGTGTGCATACCTGCATTTACTCAAAGGACCACAAAGTGGTTGCATCAAGCCTTCAAAGAGACAGACATTCTGAGCAATGGATTTGGAGAATGTTGGATAATGTTTTGCAAGGGATCCCTCCAAAAGAGATCTTACTATGTATGAATCTTAATCCTTATCTTACTATGTATGAATCTACAGTGGTGCTTAAAAGTCTGTGAACCCATTTGAATTTTCAATATTTCTGCATAAAAATATGACTTAAAATGTAATCTGTTCTCCACACAAGTCCTAAAACTAGATGAGAATCCAATTAAACAAATGAGTCAAAAACATTATATTTGTTCATTTATTTGTTGAGGTAAATGATCCAAAGCTATTTGGAGTTTGGTATCATCAGTATGTAAATGATACCCGATTACATTTTTCAACTTCAGCCTGGTCGAATGAGGCTGTCAGTCCAGTCCCATGCCTAGAGGCTGTGCGGGCCTGGATGGGAAGAAACCACCTTCAGTTCAATTCTACCAAGACTGAGTGGCTGTGGTTGTCGGGCTCCGTTAGATCCAGGAGATTCCAACTTTGACCTTGGGTGGGGTTGCACTTCCCAACTCAAGGATGGTGTGCAATTTGAGGGTCTTCTTGGACTCACATGTGTTCTACATGTGGCTGCCTTTGAAGACCTCTTGGAAACCTCAACTGATACAGAATGTAGTGGTGCAGGCAGTGATGGTGTTGCCTCTGTATGCTCATGTGACACCTTTGCTCCATGAGTTGCCCTGATTACCAGTCTGCTTCCAGGTGTAATTCGACTGTTGGTTATGACCTACAAATCCCTACATGGCATAGGGCCCAGTTATTTGAGCAACTATGAGATTGCTCAAAAAGATAAAAAGTCTGAGTGAGAAGCAGGCTAAGAGAAAGGAAGCCAAGAGGTAACAGGAGCAGAACACTCCCCATCTGGAAGTTGAAGAATTGGATTAAGATATATACTTTTACCATCTACATGTATAGTGATTATATCACAGTCTGCATGAGTATACATATATTGTTGGACAAGCCATGCTGGGGAACAGACCATGGAAGACAGCTTTCCTAAAGTAAATATCAGTATTTATTGTCTTATAAATAAAAAAATAAGCTAGGTTTTAGGTAAATATTAGCTGTTTTCATAATTCTTTCATTAGGATGGCCAAGAACAAAGGGTATAGAAGTAGCCACAGGATCTTGAAACCAATTAAGGCAACAAAACAGTTCAAAATTATTGACATTTTTACTATCAGAAATTTCTACAGACAAAGCAATTGCTTTGTTAACCCAGAATGGGGTTTTAAAGTCAAAGATAGAAAAGGAAAGACCAATCCACACTTTATTTATCCCCATATCAGTTAAAGAGAATTCAGAACTTAAAAGGAAGAAGTGGATATTGGAGGCATTTCTATGTCTATTAATGTTACTGAGAGCTGTATGAAAGCTAATGTAGATTTACTACAAGACTCTCTCCTCTTAATTAATTTTGCAGAATGATTCAACGAGATGCCTTCAATCTCTCTCTCCATTTCAAGGAAGCTGGTCGACAGTGTGAAACAACCTACAGTTAGCCATACTTCTAATTTAGTCATTGCCACGGAAGGGGAGGGTCCCTAAGAAGCAAGGTATGGTACCCCAAATACCTTCTCACACTAAGCTAATGGATATCTTACATCTCAAGTCAGAGATGCTTTACTAAGACTTTCACTGAGCAGGGGGCTGGATTATATTACCTCTAAGGTTCCTTTAAAGAAATAGCTTTAATAGCGAATAATGAATTATCTAATTCTAATAATGAATTAGATTTGATAGTATGCCTGAAGAACTTTGGACTGAAATTCATGACATCATTAAAGATGAAACAAACAGAAATGTCCCAAAATGCAAAAAAAATATGAAGGCAAAATGATGACATGGAGACTGATACATTGAAAATAGTTTATAAAAAAGATGAAAAGCAAAAAGCTATGGTGGAAATTTTGCCAACACTGGGTTCTAGAGAAGAACAAGAAGAGAAAGTAATTATATCTAAACAATGCAAAGAAATTGAGGATAATAATTGAATGTGTAGGACAAGATATTTATTTAAGAAAATTATAGAAATCAAGATACATTCTATGTAAAGATGGGCATGACAAAAGACAAAATCAGCAAAGATCTACCGGAGAAAGATGATTTAAAGAAGGGTTGATAGAAATATACAGAAGAATTTTACAAAAAAGATTGCAAAATCAATATGAACAAAGGTTTGATAAATGAACTAGTGGCATACATTCTTAAAAGTGAAGTTAATTGGGCCCTAGAAAATCCTGTTAACAATAAAGCTGCATGAATTAAACAATACTACAACTGTTTAAAATGTTAAAAGATTATGCAGTTAAAAATGCTACTTTTGATTTATCAGCAGGTATGGAAAACACAGCAATGACCAAGTGGCTAAAAAAAATTAATCCATATTCCAACAGCAAAAAAAGTGCTAAAGAATGCTCAAACTACTAACAACTGCACTTCTCTCATATATTTGTAAGGTAGTGCTCAAGATTTTGCAGTGAAGACTTTAGCAATATACGAACTACAGATTTAATGTACAAACTAAATATAAAAGAGGCAGAGGCACCCCAGATCACATTTCTAGCATCCAATGAAAAAGGGAAAAGGGAAGGGAATTCCAAAAGAATGTTATTGTATAAAATTCTTATCAATTATATAAAATCATTTGACTATATATATACCACAATATACTGGATAGCTCTTTAATACATGACTACACTAGGTCACCTTAGTTGCCTACTGAAGAATCTGTACAATGGCTAGAAAGCAATAATGAGAATGGAATAGAAAGCAACTAAAGGGTTCAGAATTGGGAAAGAAGTACCCCGAGTAGTATACTGTCACTTTATTTAACTTAAATGCAGAACATATCACGATAAATGTTAAAATGAACAAAATAGAAATCAGAATCAAAACTGGTGAGAGAACATCAGGAACCTCAGAGATGTGAATGGCTAGAAGCAAAGAAGACTTTAAGGAATCTCTGAAGAAAAGTGCAAAAACCAATCAGCTATTCAATATTTTTTAAAAACAAATAAACCTAAAATGATGTCAAGAAGCAGGGTCTACCCAGTGCAAAAAGGTGAAGTAGAATTTGAAGAAGTTGTAACACACTGTCTTCTTAGGCTCAAGAGTGATTATATATTATTAAAAATATATAAAATTATTATTAAAATATATAATATTATTAAAAATATATAAAATAAAGAGATGTCAACAGATTTGAAATGAAGTTTTGACCCAATAGTGCTCAGCCTGGTCAGATTTGATTTGTAAGATTGTTGCCTATGTTAAAACTCGTGGCCAAATTATAAAAGGTGAAAGCATTTGAAACTTGCCCTAATCAAAG